TTGAATTTATTTAATACACGAGTTTCACAATTTGAGTTGAATTACTGAAATAAATGAACTTTTCCACGACATTCTAATTTATTGAGATGCACCTGTGTATATATATATATATATATATTCATGTTCATATATCAATGTATTACTGATGAACGAAAAGCTATCAACGAATTCTGAAAGTTAATAGTCACCCACTGATACACGCACACACACAAACAGATGAACGCCACTATGTGCCAATCAGGAATAAAATGAAGAATGGATTATCTTCTTTATATATCACTGTGGCCTGTCTGATAAACACTGGAGCTGAACAACAGAACTGTGTCTGGCTCCATGGGGACTATATTGATTTCTCTGCTGCAGAGCTATTGACAGGAAATGCTGGACAGTCTACAGTGGCTCAGTCTTTCATAAAGTACACAGTTTATACTTGATAAAAAAAACCTGCAAGCCTATAAAAATATAATAATTTAAAATTATATGATGGAGCAAAGACAAATATTTTTCCTCAGCAAGCAAAACAGCCCAAAAAGAAAACCACCTCCATAGACAGATACTTATCCAACGGTTTGGGGTAATTCAAAGTGCTTTTGAGATTCAAACGAGAGGGGGACATAGATGAAGAGAGAGAGGACTTTGAAAAGAAGCGAAGGGGTAGGGAAATGGTTTTGGCAGGGTTTCAGGATCTGGGTCTAGCAGTGTTATGTCTGAAGGATGTTTAAGGAGCGGGCCGTCCCGAGCCAGGCTTCCAGTCTCACTATAATTACTACAGTGGCTGACAGACATAGTGCTTACAGAAACAAAACAGAGACAGGATTAAGAATAAACACCAATATGCCTACACGCCAAACTCTACACACATAAACGTATACATCACAGACACATTACATATATACATGGACTTTAAACAATCTAAGAGTTATAGGGCTGCTGAATGGTTTAAATAAAAAGAAAAAGAGTGAAAGAAAATAAAGGCTAAATATTATATTTAGATAATTACCTGATGACAGAATGATTTATGATGCTGTCTACTTTTGTTTCACTCACCATGTATTTTCAAGACTGTATGGGAATAAAGAATAAGAAGTAGGGACATGTGGGAAAAAATTTTATTAAATGTATTTTGTAACGTCAAATGGCATCTCTGCATTTTTTTATTGGTTTAATCTGCTTTAGTTCTCTTCCTAAAGGCCTCACATCTCTATTGTGCCATTGAGATTTAATTAGGTTGATCTTTCGAGCCTTAATCAGGAAGGCTTTTCCACGAATTCAACGAGCAATAACTTTACAGTGGTGATTAACAACCATGCATTCATTGATTTTAGTAGATTATCTTAAGTTCCTCCAAAAATTATTATCTTTCTTTTCATAAAAAGGCTAGTGTTTGTCACTCAAATTAGTGACTGCTGTATTGTAAATCTAATAACAGAAGTATATGAAAAATTTGTGTTGTAATTAATTTATCCTATTCAGCTATCTTTCTTTATTTTCTAATGTACCTTCAACTCAAAGCACAAGATCGCCAAAATGAGATACACAAGTTGATTACATTAGCCATCTCAAAGACAGGCAATTGTTTGATTTTACAGCGTGTCGTAGTTCAATGGGGTGTACAGAACATTCTCTAGGAAAATCATCTCTGTTCACATATACAAAGGGCAAGTATTTGAGTTCATTCTTTGCAAGTTAAACGATTGAATCGCAAACTGGTATGATCTGGTGTGGTAGAAACCGAATTAGAGCAGCACTGGCTGAGCCAAAATCACCACACTCACTCAGAAATCCAGTTCACTGAGAGGTCAGCCCACCATGGAGTTAAAAACACCACGGCTAGAAACCTCACGCAGAAACACAGCTGAGAGCCAGAGATCCTGCTTTGAGAATGTGACAAATGAGATCAATTAGAGACAGAAACTAAAAAACATTCATGCATATAAGAGAACAGACAATATTATTTGAGCTGATTATGTCGTTTTATGCACAATCACGTTAACTGCTGAGAAACCCTGAGAAATGTGGGAGAATGCAATGTTGATTTGAAAAGTTTAATCTACTCAAATCCTCCCTGAAAAGCAGCATCAGCTCTTGAGGAGACAAACATGCTAAATGCAAATGCCTCCATTTTTCCATTTCCCTGCACAGATACAAATGTTCAAAGGCACTTTTTATTTTCTGTCTCCACAGTCATAATATGGTGCTCACAGAGCTGAAGAATGTGTCTGGAGCTGGGCGGCCGGGCAGCGTGGCGCAGGGATAATGTCTATGTTGCTTTCTGGGAGTCCTGTTTTAAAAGGGATGAGGTGGGGCCAGGCAGACTGCTGAGTAAGCTAGCCACTACGCGGTCGCCCTCTAGAACAAACAACGGCACTAAAAGAAAGCTTCCCTGGACCCCGATGCATTGCAACACTGAAAACAGAGAGCTGTGTCACTTAATGTGATGTGCAAGCAAAGTAATGGTCACATTGTGCATTAAAAAATGGAATGAAAAGATGAGATGTTTGAAGAACACTATATGCCCTGTTCTACAGACAAATGAAGTACTTGAGCTTTGAGCTAATTGGAAATTTCCAAATGATCTCTAGATAACAGCCTTGATTCATTTCATTGGCAAATATTTTATATATCCCATAACATTTTAATAGTTTTATTCATGACGTCAGCCAAACATCAAACATCTATCATCAAAGACAAAAGACCCAGTGATAAATTCATCGCTGTAAGCTCAGCATTGATAATAAGGGCGAAATTAAATTAGAGGTTAAATTTTTGCTCATTTTCTGATTGATAGCAGCCAGCAAAAACATACATAAACATACTTCAACACTGATATTAATCATGTGTAATATTAAATAATATGAAAAGTATTATTTTGCCATGTTTATTTTTTACAGATCATATAAAAAAAAAATTTCATATGGTGAAACAATAGTCCTATGTGTTTAAATTTCTCTTATATATATATATATACACACACACATATATATATATATATGTGTATATGTATATGTGTGTGTGTATATATATATATATATATATATATATATATATATGAAAATCAATATTAGATTTTTGTAATATTGCATTATTTTATATATATATATATATATATACAAAAATCAGTGTGTGAATATATATATTTATATTTAGTGGTCGACCGATATATCGGCCGATATTTGGCATTTTTTTAAATATCGGAATCGGCCGATCAGTTTTCCTGTTTGGCCGATGCGTTCGAGGCGGGACTTTTATTTTGATGGCGCTGAGAACGGCAGCA